AGGGTAATTCGATGCCCTGATTACGAATATGACATTCATTTTTGATGTTGGCGTTCCATTTGGTGCCACCTTGTCACGACCGCTTATTCACAAAATCCCGTGTAAACGTACATAGGGGTTATTTGGTGCCCTGATTACAATATGCATTTATTTTTGACCCTTGCGCCATTTGGCGCCCATTTTCTGCTCGCTTGCGCTCTCGCATGGGGTTGATCACTCGCTATCAGGACTAAGCCCTTAGGAAAAAGAGGGCTCAGATTTGAGAGAGCCACTCACCCTAATACCACACACCTTAACGTTTGCTCACATGCTGCGTGATTTACCACCTCGGAGTCCTCCTTCTCCAATAACTTAGTCTTAAGCACAATGTATAAGTGAGAGAGCCCAGGAGAGCAGAAAATATGCGTTAGACAGCGGTCAATTCAAAAACGAATGTCATATTCGTAATCAGGACACCAAATAACCCCTATTGTACAAGTTTTACAGCGGATTTCGTGAAAACAGCCGTCGTGACAAGGTGGCGCCAATTGGCGCCAGCATCAAAAATGAATGTGATACATATACGTGATAACGGCATCGAATTACCACTATAGGGACAAAATGAATCGCTTCACCGTTACCACATCTAATTTCCATTTAGCACTGTTTTTATGGTTCTTTCAAGGAGTTTAGCAGCCTGCTCCCGCGATTGGAAAGAGGAATTACGACAATTCCCTTCTCTTAGCCATTAGCTTTTTAGGTCCTTTCTTATCCTTTCCGGTCAGATTAGAACCGAATAATTGCCTGACTATTCACTAAACATCTTTGAGTTGTTAGCACAGCCGTCAAGCAGCCGACAACGGTCCAAGGGCGAGGATCGACTGTGGGATGGTGCAACTGTTTTTAGGAGGGGTGTCGCTGCGAGGGTGATTGATTTTCTACCTAAAACTGTTGTTTCGTTATTTTCCCGCCATCTTAGCAGGAATGCGAATTCATTAAACCCTTTCCGTTATTGTTCGCAACGGAAAATGAAGGTCCACGATTCGGCATTCCCATTTCCAACTCACTGTTGGGGCGAGATCGTTCAGTCCAATGTAAATGCGAGCATAGAGATTTGATTTCTCATTGTAGAGGTTTCCCACAATTCATTGTCTGACAACCTGACAGAAGAANTTGATCGTTAGNGNNAANNTTTCCTTTATCACTGCACTAGCTAACTTCACATTCTGCAAACACCGGGGATTGGTATAACTTCCCTCAGTCAATGTCAAATTCCAACAAAAGCACATCATGCGCAGCTTTGATGCAGTCTCGCTCCATACGGACGTCAAAAGAACCCAAATTTTTAGACTTGACAAGGATTAATCAAGAAATTCACTCAGGGCTTCTCTGGAGTGCAATATCTTTCAACTCGATGGAAAAGCTTCTGCTCAACATCGCTGTCCGAATGGGAGTAAGAATAGCTTCACAGCTAGCAATTGTAATTTGCTTTATTCGGAACATAGGTCGCTAACAGCCGGAACAATTTTCTATATAAGGTACACAGACGACGTACTTATAATCGGCTCCTCTTTAGTGAAATGCAAAAAAAACACGTAACTATTCGGACGCAATAGATACCAATATCCAATTTACTGTAGAAAATCCAAGTGTAAAGAGTTTCGCTCCATTATGTTGTCCATTTTGATTGTTAGTATCCAAAACTAACTTCTGCAACCCACTGTTTCTGTACTTGAAAATTTATATTCAGAATGGAACAAAACTTCTGTTTCAACTTGGAGCCTGACATCCTAGATAACATGAAAGCCACCAAACGCTATCGGAACCTTAATAGCGACGCTAGGACGAAAATTTGCACCTCCAAAATCGATGAACGTTGGATTCGATGGTTTTGACATGTTCGATAAGGGAGAAAGAGTATGTGAAAGCACCAATATATGCATGGAGACTACACTCGACACCAGATGTGGTGTCGAGTGTATCCTATCCGTGGTGATGTCATTTGTCAACGATAGCACGGCATTAAAAGTTGACAGTGTGATCAAATGTTCGCATCTCCCAGGACGATCACTATTCCGTGCACTACCGCATCTCAAACGCCTAGTCACATAC